CCAGGTTTTTGAGACCGTCATTCCTTTCTCACGAGAAGGAACAGATCCAACCAAATTAACAGACAGCATATTGTAATGCATCGACTTGTGGAAATTACAAAATACCAGMATTTTTACAAGCGAAATACGAAGAAGGCTTTATTAAAATCCGATCAATAATCCAATCAAATTTCGAAGTTTGAATTCAGATTTGAATCGACCAAGAATCGAATAATGAATAGAATAATGGTGTTTTGAGGGGGCGCGCTTCATGTCTTTTGACTGTAGAAGAATCAAATTACCTGAGGATTCAGTGACTCTTAGTAGTGGAGCCATCAAGACATTCAGGAAGTACGTTTTAGCAAGATTAGTGTTACGCTTTAACATGGCCCTCACAGTACTTGATGCAACTCTAACAAACTGTTTGGCAAGCTGTTCATGCTTTGCATGTAATAACCTCATAACCTGCAAACAAAATTACAGTCAGTCAATCTGTCTGTCTGTCTGTATTCCAAATTTAGAGACTTAGAGCTATTCAGATGTGTGCTTGTGCAGTCCATCAGTGACTCACTGTACTGTTAGTCCATAATACAGAGTAGACTTAAAAAGCCAAAAAAGTCAACCAACATTAAATGTGATTTTGTTTTAGATTTTCCATGTATTAAGGTTGAATCATACAATACTAGTATTTCCATTCCTTAGAGTACCGTAAGTTTTTGCTTATATTACAACATATTTTCCATTTTAAACATGAGCAGAAGCCTTTGACAACAAGAGCTAAAGAGCAAATAGTGGAGACTAATAATAACAATAATAATAATAATATATGAAAACTTGTATAGCGCATATACAAGTCTGTTCTATGTGCTCTGGTAAAATAAAAACAAAAATTAAACTCTAAAAGCTGAACTAAACAAATAAGTTTTAAGTTCTTTCTTAAAGGACAGCAGAGAGTCAATGTTACGTAATTCAGATGGGAGAGAGTTCCATAAAGTAGGGGCAGCAACAGTTTTTATCAAGTAAAGTTTAGCAGACAGCAGTAGTTCTTTAGAGGACCGTAGCTAAGGGATTATTCACACTTAATGTCTATGGAACCAGTGATAAGTAGCAACACTTAAAGGTGGTCAAGACACACAGGGAACCCAAGAAGAATTAGAGATGTCTGTAGAGGAGGTTATCGTCAGCAGAGGATGTCTACTAACCTGTGGGGATATGTGTTGATAATATTCGTCCATAGAATTGGCCTGGAGTGGACAGCTAGCAATCACCATAGCAACCATATCACATTTACGCCAGTCTGGAGAGCTACTGGATGCTAACAAAACATAATATATGATAGAAACTAATGAAAAAACACCGTTATGGACTTATCTAATGTCTATTCAATACTCAAACTATAAAATAATCTATTAACTGTTTGGTTAGTATTTTCGTTCATGCTTTTCATATTTTCATTTGATAACATAAAATTAGTATTATGATTTAATATTTCTAATATTTACCTCCTGACGACTCCAAAACAGCCGTCAACACTGCCTGCACACCATTAGGTCTCATGACCCTCTCTGACAAAAGTCTACCACAAACATCAGTGAACCACTTTGGTGAAGCAACATTGCTGGCTGAAACTCCTTCTGTTCCTTTCAAGTTCTTACCCTCAGCTTGTTTTCCACTTTTCCTTCTTGCGTTTCCTTGTATTGTGAGAAGTTCTTTGATGATTAATGGCTGGTAAACTCGATCTAGAAGTTTTTGCAATTCAACTGTGAAATTTTCCCGTTCATATGCAGTGACTTTTGAATTTTTGCACTTCTCTTCAAGTTCAAA